ACGGCCCACTCAATCATGGCTCAAAACAACAAACACGGTACTTTGCAAATCGGTGGATGGTTGGAGCCATGGTTGGAGCCATGGTTGGAGCCATGGTTTTCCCCAACTATCTTCCTGGCACGTCCAACTCATGGGTACCTAAAATCGGTAGATGGTTGGGGAAAACTAGAGAAAGCCCAATGTGGTTTGGCATTGGTCCGTTGGCTCGGGGAAACTCTGTCCTCGCAGTACCAGAAGTGGGTGTCCGCATCTCGGTGACCATAATCCTGTCGGTGGCGCCAGTGTTCAAGAAGCGCCCAGCCACAGCAAAGAATGGCAACAGGCACCGTCGCAAACGCCTTTGACAAGTGGCACTTGGCTGGATACGTCATGGTCCAGCACTTTTCTTGGCAGGTCTCAGCTCTTGGGTCAGGCACTTCGCCTTGCCTTGTGCTGTCTACATCTGATGCAGCTCCCAGGCATCGCCTCGTGGATGGCCCCAGCGAACAGGAAACATGGAGGTTGCTTCGGGCGGCGGAGCCCCAGGGATTTGGAGACCATTGCCCCTGCCATCTGATATCACTTTCGGCGCCAATGCAAACCAGCACCCCCCAACCACTGAGAAAGGGGATAGTACTTGGGATTTCGGACATGGGAAGAAACAGTTGTTGTGGGGCGCCGGTTCGGCCCGAGCATAACAATGATGCATGGATTTGGGGTGGTCAGCGGCCTTAAAGACTCTCAGATACATGTTGCACCTTATCAACCACGGGCCTCGTCAAGTCAAAGACAGCCGACTCAACTGAAAACACACTGACATCCATGCCAGCCAGTAAGATCCAGCAAGTAGTTTTACAAGGTGGTACAGTCTGGGCAATCCATTGGGATTTGTTCAAGGCCGCGATGGGATGCCGAAATCAATCCTCTGAAAGGGGTTTCGGCTTTGACGCGACCATGGGGTAGTTCAACATGCTCAGCTTGGGTCAAGCGGATATGGTGTCTGCTACTTGGATGTCTGACAAACTGAGTAAGAAGCATATGACCATGATTACAAGTGGGATAAAGGGGGTTGCGAGCATGTGACATGTGACCGTTTCAACCCAACTGAGCATCCAAGTAGCCTGTCATGCTACCTTCAATTAGGTACGTGTCAAAACTGGAGAGCCCTGTTAGGTCCAAGTTGGGGTTAGGGCAAAGTCAATATGGGCACAAGCAAGACAGACCTCCAGTTTGCGCAGCCAAATGAGTCAAAGTGATCTCAACTCTGATGGGCTTCAGGCCTGCAAATTGCTGATGTTCTTTTAGGTTTCATAGGGAACCTGACAAGACACGGCACTGAAACAAAGGATTTGTCAGGGAATGCGTCGCTTGGGCCCAGCCTGGGAACTACATTGGCTTGAGAAGGCCGCGCCCGCTTGAAGCTTTAGGTTGCGGCGCGAGCTTTGCAGCATTCACTGGAGCGATTTTCGCTTGGTGCCCTGTGGGAATCCCCAAGTGGCAACGAAAGGTGGGTGCAACAATCCCGTTCAACTACCATGTGCATCATGTATGCGAAATTACGTGCAAGCCAAACACAAATGGATCCATCGCATTAGCTGTGCAGGCATGTGCAAGAGCTGCATGTCTTCAGAGAACTGGATGTCTAAAGATCGGGACCCCCCAAAAATGCTTGTCCAGTCTTCCACTATATAGTCTTCCCTTTTAAACCCCTGAAACGGACCTGTACCCTCGAAACGTGCACGCAAAAAAAACAAAAACAACAACAACTGCCGGCAGCCGTGCACGCTTTTGGCATCACTGCCACGAGGGCCATGGCCAGGTCGTTGCACCTCGAGGCCCCATTTGGTGAGTGGGAACCCCATTTGCCCACAAGAAGCAAGAGTTCACATCCCCAAGCCACCAGCCCAAACCAGCAACCAAGCGCCACCTGACAACTCAGGGAACACAAACATGGATATGATCAGATTCGAGACTACGGCAGTGGTTTGAGGAATTGCCAGATTTGGGGCGCACACCTTTCCTGACGCAGAACTGGAAAACTCAAAAGTGGCTGCCAACCAAGTTGATGCTTGCTGGATAGACGGTATCGTCAAACAAAACTGCAGAACATCCACTCTGCTTTTGAGGATGCCAGCGTCCCATCCACCATTGAAACAGCCAATGAACAGTCGTGAAGGTCAGAGCATTCCAAATGAGCATCTGCACCGCTTAAATCAGCTGTCGTTGTGAATAGAGGATGTTCCTATTTGCCTCTACTAAGCTGCTGTGACTTTTGTGACGCATGTCCTCGCAAGGACGCTTAGCTGGATAAAGTATGTTAACCTGGGGATAATCAAAGCTCACCCGTGATGGAGGTACATTTGCTGGGGATCCCTTTCTTGCTGTTTGGTGATTCGCGCAGGCTGGTGCTCAAATTGGAAATCCTTAAGTTGGCGTGTCTTTTTGAGGGGATCCCAAAAATCGGCGGTTATCCTGTTGGTCCCCCTTTAAAACCACAGCAAGGGGGTACCTTCAAAAAAGACACTCACAATTGAAAACAAACCACAATTCTCAAACATGGAGCTTTCGGACCCTTTAGGTGCCTAACCAACAAATCTGAGGCTTCCGACTGCAGGTGGTTTGCCGGCCTTGCGATTCTTCGTCAGCTTGCCTGATCGCAGAGGATGAAAGTGATCGAAGTATCCGGAGTGACACATCATGGGTGTGGTGTGTGTGTGTAACCAAAAGGAAAACCACAATCTGTTGGGGCTCCCATATGTTGACACTTACCTAGAATATCATCTGACATGTGGGCAGAAAACAGAACCCAGTTGGAACAAACGCAAGTCAACCACAAAGAAATTGCCTGCGCACAACACTTGAGAGACAAACAGCTTGTCTCGTGTGCCTGGATAGTGAGTCCAGATGAGTCCAGATTCGGTTGCAAAACTCCTCGCGTGGAAGTGCGTGGCGTCACCTTTATATCACATCGGCCCCGCCCGCCACTGGGGCGAAAATCCTGAGTCGGAGCCTGGAAGATCGCCCCAACTGGATTTTGGGGAAAATTGAAATGGCCCAACAGGCAACTGGCAACTGCATCAATTCAAAGAGGGCGTGGAAAGCTCGTCAATGCCTGCTGATTCTGGGGCCACAGAAGCGAGTCATGGAGTTCTTGAGAGTTGCTGGTAGCTGTTGCCCAAACTGTCTGCTGGGCATGCTGCATCATCTATTTTTCAGGCCCCGCCTAGGCCGACCTGGGAGCAAAGGGAACAGGCCCCCCGAAGCCGCGGAAGTTTGAATCGTGACAGGCCAAGTGCAAGTATCAGCCCGATCGTGCTGGTTCCCAGAAGTTGAACACCTGCAAAGCGAGGAGCACAGATGTTGTCAGCGCAGATTGAAAAAAAAACTGCTGCGCTAACTCCTTCTTGCAAATGAGTAAATCAGAAGGACCCCTCAAATGGGGCAAGCGTCAGAACAACGCGCCAAGCGTGAGGACCGATTGCAAGGTCAACCCTAGCGCCACCTAAGCTGCCGGACTGCGAGGTCGGCTGCGTCCGCGCCTGCAAAGTGCGCAACTTGCCGTAAAAAACCAACAACCATTGTACACATGTGCGTTGTCCGCCGTGTCTGCGCATGCCATTCTAAAGCCCTCGGCAAAAAGCAACCACAGCCCCTCTTCCTGAAAAAGGAAGCCAACCTGATCTAACCGCCAAGCCGCAGCCTCGGGCGAGGATAGTACGAGACCGTTGCTGCAGCTTCCGCCTGGGGCTGTCCGCTGACGAAAGCAATTGGCCCCTGCTTCCAAGATCTCCTTTTTTCAGGGTGGGTGTCCATTGCCTGATGCCGAAAGGAGGTTGGCACTAGCACATGGAGCCCATTTGCAAAGGCCAAGCTTCCCGCATCCCCTTTGCTCACTTCAAGCTGAGCACCCTGCAGTGGGCTTTGGCCTCACCTGCCATTGACCACACCGGACTCTGAGCGCCGCTGCCTGCGCGCCAGTCGTCGCATTTTGCTTCTCGCCAGGCGCGTCTGGCCGCAGTCCGCTCACTTGGTCGGCCTCAGGCTCAAACTCGTCATGCGCTGCACGCTCTCCATTTCGCAATGCACGGCAAGCGCAACTTCGAAAAACCGCCCCATACCGACATGCGCAACAGTTCGGCGAATGAACAGCCCACAGAATACCTTAGTCACACTAAGGGCCGTAAGGGCAAGTTGCCACCATGCCTCAAAACCCTGTGAATGCAAAACGCATGCTGCGCATGCAACGCGGATAGATTCTCAATGTCACTCAGCCGGAAATCTACATTGGGTGACCCAAATGGGTTCGAACAGCTTCCTTTCGGATGCTATATGCACGCACGTGACTGAACCCGATGTTTACAACTCCAGGTGACTTGGCAGGCCCCCTGACTCTCCGCCTTATGGAGAATGGAACTCGTCTTCTGGGCTTGGACATTGCTCCGTTAAGTCTGCAAGTCATCCCTCCAAACGCCACCCGCGCGGGTTGCCCGGGCCCTTTTGAGTGACATCATTTCCGAAAAGAAATTCCCCCAAAGTAACTTTCCCGAACAAATTTTCATGGATGTCCCCAACTTCAAGTGGGCACGTGCCAGAGCAATCGACCAGACTGACCTGACTCTCACTAAAGCAAAGGCTTGGAGGGACCCAAGACACCACTTTCTCCTGTCAAAGCAGGCCGCCTCCTGCGCCTCTCGATGGGTGCGGGAGATTTGCTTGCCAGTGGCGCAACATTTGCTGCCCCACCTTTTTGGGGCCAGGGGCCCTGTTCTGAAGGCCCTTGAAAAGGCCGCGATCTCCTTGTAGAAAAGCAATTCAGGCAGGGCTCGCAATGAATTGGGCAAATCTGCTGAGGCAAATGCAGTGGGCATTCCCACTCTCTGAGCTGGCTGTTTCACAGCCGCGTGAGACTCGGCGCAAAGCCTCTCTACCGGGCCAAGGGGCCCGTGAAAGGGACCGAAGCTTTGGGTTCGTATGCATGGGCCAACCAGGAAAAGAAGTGCGGAAGGGGCACCAGATACATGTGCAACAAACGGAGTTTTCGATTCGACCAGGAAAATGGGCTCTCTCACAGCTCGATGCAGGAAATGTCCTCAGAATGGAGCGATGCCGCTTCCAACTTAAGGTCCAGTTGTCCCCAAACAAATCAAGGAAAACAACTACAACTATAAACAGCTGCCATGGCCATTTCTACAAACCACAAGGGAACCATGAACAAAGATTCAGTATCTAGACTTGCTTGGAGTGAGTTATTGCGTGGCGGCAATGCGTCCGGAAACAGCCACTCGAACCTCAGTGACTGGCCACCGATTGTCCCCTACAGCAATGCTGGGCACAAATGCCAGCCGAAACCTCAAACATGCGGCCTACAATCCAAACGGCAACATCTCAAAAGGCCAACCCAAAACCCCACCGCTGTCGTGCCGGGCAGCATTTCGAAATGTGTTCGCCCTGGGCCGCGTTGGAGGGTCGAAGATGTCGAACCCTCCTGCACGAGCAAACGCACCAGCACACAGAGCTTCTCACCACTAGCGCACTTCATGGCCGGCTGTATAGCTACTTATGGGAACCCCCAGGTTCAGCAGTCGTGTTCACTGCCATCCTGATGCAGGTGAACAACACCCAAAGTAAATTAGCAAGACTCGAGCCAGCCAGTGTGCTCCAGCACACATGCGTCAGATCCACAAGCTGGTGGGTCAACCTAAGGGCTCCAAAGTCCAGGCATTTCGATACCCCCCATGGCAAACATGTGGCCTTTCTTTCCACTGCCACAAACGGGAACATGGCGAAGGGCCTCTTTGGGGTACGTACGCCTAAATCTCGACAACTTTGTCTAAGCGCTGCGCACTTCCATTGGGCCTCAGTTGATATCCTGGTCCCTAAGTTGCCGAAGAAGTCATCAGGGGATTGGTACAAGTTCATTCGTTTCACACCTGGCCCCTGCTTTCCACCCCAAACCTGCTGCCCAATTCCACTTTACCTCTTAGCTTATTCGATCAACAGATCGGTTGAGCTCGGGTCCCCAAACCCATGGGAAGGTAGCCTTTGGGTTGGGCACCATGGCCCCACGCCCGCACGGCTTCCTGGACCTTCGAGAGTGGAGGCCCTCAGCCGAGGGATAACGTCCTCGCTCTCCACTTCCAAGTGATCCGGGTTGATCTGAGCCACGGTTTCCACTTGGTGTGTGATGTTTGAGCGCGTTGTTTTTCTCCCATGGGCGGTGATGTTTGAATCCGGGACTGTGTGTGTGTGTGTGTGTTTTCCCGTGGCCGGTGATGATTGAATCAGGGGAAAGTTGGGACCACTGACCGAAAGTGAGGCTTGGGTTTTGCATGTTTTTGCGCCCCCTTGGGGGCTCTCCTTCTTCCGGGGAACTGACGTCGCGGGTGGAAACATCTTGAACCCACCACGAAGGTGTGATTGCATGCTGACGCGTCCCAATGGACAGGGAAACGAAACAATCCAGTCATTTAAGGAATTTGAGTCTCAGCCTCGCATGTGCAGGCACCACAGCTTTTGGCGTCACACATGGGCATGGCTGCTGTTTAGAGGCGTCCCCCCACATGCAAATGTCACTGGTGCAACCCCAAAATGCCAGTGTTGGTGATTGACCTGCCCCCCCCCCCTCCCCCCCCCCTCAAGCCTCTACGGAGAGCGCTGGCAGCCGCACTGGGGGTCGCCAGGGCGAGAATCGAAAGAAATCGTTGTCGATCATCCTGGCATCATTTCCACCCTCGCGAGTTGGTATTTCCAGGGAAACTTGTTCGCAGCCCTCTCTGGGCTGATGTTCCGGGATGCCCGCTCAAAACCGAACATGAAAGATGCCGCATGGGCAAACAACCGGGCGAGCGTTGGCGTTCGGACAAGGATCCCGAGCAGTTTGATTGGCTCATGTTCGAGGCCTCCGAACGCCGTTGACGGGCTCAAAAGAAACATTTCTCAACTCCTAGGCTTTTGCTCCTGCCCTGGTCCTAAAGAGACACCTTCCCATCGTCACAATGGCCCCGGTTCATTCCGTCCTCTGGAAAGGCTTGAGGTCACAAACCGAGAGCGCCGCAATGTCCTGTGCGGCAGCGAGCCATGAGGTCTTCACCCATAGGGACCTGGAAATACTTTCGGGGGAAAAAAACAACAACATGCCTTTCCAACGTGGCACTTGCCAGCCTTGTGTTTGCCAGGCTCAAATAACTCAGCAGGACTGCAATGCTTGGAAGGGCCTTGCTTCATGTGCCAGATTTTGGCTGAAGTCAATCGATGCCATTGGATGGTCCAGGGCCATCCCGGTCCTGTGCAGACACTGTCCTGCTGCCCAAGACCTGTGCTGTGTTGGCGCGGTGCATGATGTGCACGCACAGGCCCTCGTTGTCCTTCGCTTTCGGTCGCTTGTGGGGGTGGGCATATACCAAACAGGAGACGCAGCAGGTCAACTGTTGAATCCATTCGAAAGGGTCATACGGCTTGGTTCACCCGTGTAGAGCGCCATTGCAAAGCCCATTTAATTCGGCCGCTCTGAACCGACCCATGCGGCCCCTCTTGCAAAAATTGGCCACGCTCAACCTGTACTAGGCAACGGCAAATCTGCACAAGGCATCAACGCTGCCCACAGCCCAGGGTCCCATATACTAGCAGCCTTGCGCAGGCAGGCCATTAGACCAACACACAGCCGAGTCCAATCTTTGTGTATCAACGGCATTAAAGCTAAAAATCATCTTCGATTTTTACAGATTTTATCCATATTCCCAAATTTGCTGGAGAGAGGGGCCCTGTACAAATCCTTCCACTAAAGATCTCTCGCGCAGAGAGCTGCTGTCTTCCCTGTAATGGCAGAACTGTCTCTTGGCACCTGGGCAGGGGCTCTTTGAGGTTCCTTTCTTTTCTTCCATGGGTTTTGAAAAGGATGCATCCGAAAACCACCTGCTTTGCCAGCGGATCCAAGTGAGCTGGCACTTGGGTGATGCTCTAACCCCCCAGCGCCAGAATCCCAAAAAGGAGACCCTGGTGAGCGGCGGGGGCTTCGGGGATACAAGTTTGGGCCGACTGCACTCTGCCAGACTAACATGGAAGCTCCCCCAATTGGCCTCTGTAAATGGAACCAAGTCTTCTAAAGGGGTCCCTTTGGAATTCACCCTCTTGAGATCCAAATCCGGCCCATCCGGGCCTTGTAGAGGAGCACTTTGTCCGTGCCATAAATGTCCCTGAGCTTCAAGAAGAAGGGCGCGTCCTCGGGTGATGCCTTTTTTTAGTGTGGCTGAATAGAAAGGGGGCCCCACTTGGTGAACTCCCTTTGGAATTCCGAAAGAAACAACAAGGCAACACATACCGTCGACAAAGACACGCGGGCCATTCAGTGGACCTCCAGCTGGGATGGATGAGCCTAGATTTGAATACTGGGATCAACCACCTACCGATTGTTACATCCAATGACTATGTTGTCACTTTAAAAGCGTGTTTTTAGAACTAAAAACCTTGTATTTTCCACCATGGTCCTCCGCGAAGCCCACGTTGGGATAACTGAACATCAACGACGGCTGCCGGCGATGAGAGTAGCCTCAGCCAAGTGGATATCCGCGGGCAAAAAACTATTGGCGCCCGTTTCTTTTTGGTTCATTTGTGAAGGGAAGGCAAGTGTGCCAAAAATGCCAGACTGGGCACCTCTTCCAAACATAGAAGCAACACCAGCCGTGGCAAACATAAAAACACGGCCCCTGCGTGTTGGGATTTCGGTTTGCGTCAAACCCTTACAAAAAGTTGAAGGCAACAGGGGCGATTCGAATCGGTTGGGTAGCTAAACCCGTAGCCGTACAGAATCTCGTCCAACTCCGCTTGGTCGTCCGCCCACTCGTCCCAGCTCTCAGGGTCCTAAGTGGGAATTGGGGGGCTCGAGCAGGAGGTGCAAGGGGTGGAGTCAGGGCAGAGGCTTCTCAAAAGTGAAACAAGGTCCACTTGTGGATGTCCTGGACACTTTTCTTTGAACTTGTGGGGGGTTCTGTAATTAATGCAAAGCAAACTAGGCCATGATGATAGGAGCAGATCGCGAGTATGTTTTGAGCTCTGTTTATCACAGTCACAAGCCCAAACCTCAAACAAACAAAAAAACTAGTACAGGATGAGTTGTTTTAAACTAGTTCCAGCTTTTTTGCTCGCCCCGGCTCAGCACAAGGCCACCCATCATGTCATGTGCCTCTAAACAAGTTAGCTGCACTCTTAGGTTGCGGGCAACAGGGGGACCTGTCCTGGGCCAGGCTGGGGGTCGGGGTTGGCCGCATCCCGCATCCCCAGAATCACCAGCTTCGCTCGGAAGGCAGTTGAGAGTAAGCATGGCTCAGCAAAGGCCTGATATCCTGGATGCGGTTAAGTGGGTTTAAGGTTGACTTTGGGCCGCTGATTTGTGCTGTGGGGCAAAAAACCATTCAGCAACGACTCCGCAAACAACACTAAAACCACTGCAAAAACGAGCCGCACACCTAGCGCAAATCAGCTCCAAGCCAAACCGACCCAACGTCAACCCTAACCAACCCCACAACAGCCTGAACCCCGCAGCCCTGGCCGGGCCACTAAAAACAAAGAGAAAACGGTTCCCTGGTACCTGCACTTGTGTCTGTAGCATTCATGGAATGGATAACATCCTGATGGCTCTATGGAAGCCTTCTATCGAGCTAGGGGCAGGTTCCAACTTTCAGGGCTGCGTCGCAACGTCTCAACTCTTGAATTCGGCTTACAACCGATTGAAAAGTGATGCACTCTCACTAAAGAGGGACAGGGATTGATCCCATTACCTGGGCTTGCCTTGCTCCGGACTTGTTTGGTTGCTGTTCCGAGGGTCCGAGAAGGTGCACACCCCCTTTCCAGTGTAGTAGTTGTACCACGCCGAGAGGGTCACTCCCACCAGGCGCTCCCTTTGCATCAGCCCCACCATCTTCTCCACGTAGCCGGGGGCGTACAAATCGTCGTCGTCAAAGTTCACAATGAACTCCCCAGTGGCCATGTGCAAAGTCATGTTCCGCTTCAGCCCCACCTGTTAGGTGCTGAAGCGCGTCACTAGTGAGTCCATGTGCCCGATGCTCCAACAAGCAAAGGAAGTGCAAATGCGAGCTGATAGCAACATGAGCATTGCAGAAACCAAGCGGGTGTTGCCTTGCTCAGAACCTGCGTATCCCATTTTTGGACTGAAACTGCAAACTCCTTCTATTTCCGAATGCCAGCAAGGAAGTCAATCAGACTACAAACTTCACAGACCACGCTTCGTCCTAAGTCTCCCGCTGTGAAGTCCTTTCCAGGTTGTACCTTTATGGTGATGTGCACCACGCGCTCATCAACCCTCATTTTCTTCTGCAAGTACTCCGACGGAGCGTCCTCATAGGTCTCAATGACGATCAGTTCCTAGTCCAAACGTAGGCCCGCAGGATTCTTCTTTTGCCGTTTCTTTTGTCAGGACCGTTGGGTTGGGAACCTCACATTGCACGCTTACACGAATTCTCGCATGGTCATGACCATTGGTTTTAGCGTGAGCCACTCAGCCACAACTCCATGCCAAGTAATTACTGAGGCCCTCTGAACACCCAAAGAAGCACAATGACACGGGACCGCGTGAACGGCGATCCACCCGAGGCTCTTGTGCCGGAGGTGACTACATCACTGGAGTGTGGAGCGGCCCATTGATTTGCCTGCCCCTTGTGCTTTCAGAAGTTATACGTTCTTAGCATCAGTTGGTTGGCTTGGTTGGCAGCATTTTCGGCTTGGATTTGGAGTGTTGCAGATGTGGACGGACATCAAGTTAAGCACCTTCCAAACACTGTGTCTCGAGCGTGCAGTGTGGTGGCTGATACATGGTCTTTACAATAAGCACATGGATAGCTAGCATGTCTTTTGGAACAAGTGGGATGCTCTGTGGAGAACGAAATCCGCTAGTTGAGAGGCGGTTTATCCCAGTGCTCATAGGGTTTCATCCATCTCGAGTGGTGCCTGGCGTGGACTTCGTCGATGCAAATCGCTTGTTGCAGCATTGGTTCAAGAGATTGCTCTGAGTATTCCGCTGGTTTGTGTTCCACACGGTTTTCAAGCCACGGCAATGTCCAGCCGCAATCTTTCGCACCTTGGCAAGCCGAAAAGAGGCCATCCAAAGCAACAACCTATACACTGTTGGATGCATGTTTCCTTTGCAGCTTGCAACTGGAAGGTTGGCATGCAAAAAGCATCAAACGCTGTTGGATGTTCCGTGTGAGTTGCTATCAATGGGAGGCCTCTTCAACCACAAAGCCAAGCTGGACCGGAATCCGATTCCCCGTTTCGCAAAAGCACATTGGAGACGAGTCAGGGGACCCGCGAAGGAGCCTTCATCAGGTCGCGGCTTTTTGCACAACTATTTTTTTGGTTTTGTCCGAAAGTAATTTATCAGGCATCGTACACATCATCCGTCACCCATGGTTGCAAATTCTAGTACCGGACGAAAGGAAAGCAGAACCGAACGAAGTGAAGGGCACAGGCCACTTTGCGGCGATCAGTTTCTGACTAAATTGTACCCCAAGGCTCTCAAACAATCAAGGGAGAGTAAGGGAGAGATTCCGAATGGCTAATGTCCTTTTGCTGTATCAGGCTCCGCGAATTCAGATTCTCATTTTGCAAGTCCGGAAATGGCCAGACTTCCCATGTGCGCTACTCGACATTTGCTGTTCCCTCCAGGCACGGGTCAATTTGTGAGGCCTGGTTTTGGGGGAAAAATGGCGTTGACTCCGTGCACTTCCACAGCGGTCCTTGTCGGGGTACTTCTGGGCGTCGAAGCAGCGGTAGAGGTTTTCGTGGTAGTGCCGGCGGTTGGACATCGAGGGTGCCACGATGGAGACGCGGCCTGGACGATCCCTCCCAAGATGTCAGCTTCCCTACTTGGTGGCTTGAGTGGGTTGCTTGGTGGTCAAAAGGTGATTTCCCATTTACCCTCTAAAAGAACTAGTAAATCCAATCACCACACGTACCACTCGTAAACAACAGGAAAACTGGCTCCAATGAATCAATTCATCCCAACAGTGTGTATACACATGTGCAACAACATATGTACAAAATAATGAGACCAACAGATCAAACAGTTCATTGATAATTGGATGAAACCATCAATACATAAACAATCATAAATTACTTGGGTCCCAAAAGATACCAATGCCGCATTTCGCTAGCAGTACTTTGGCCCGTTGAGCTGGGAAACAAGCAGCGAGGCTTCAAGGCAGCGCAAGCTTCTTGCGCAGCTGAGACGCATTTGTCTCCCAGGAGGGTGCAAAAAGTCCCCCCCCAAAAAAAAAATAAATAAAAAATAATATAATAAAAAAAAAGATATCGAACAAACCGAACAAAACCACTTAAAGCAAATAAAACACGCATCGAGCAGTAGGAAGATCTGGCAGCTTCAGCTCTGTCCCGAACCAGGTTAGTTCGGTAGTTTGCGTGCTTCGCATTTGCTGTTGTGCTTTGTGCTTCGGCTTCTCAGTTCTGGAAACATGTCCTTGGGCGGGGTGGCTTATGGACATCATCTGACTCCTGCGCAACTAGACACACACACACACGGGATTTCTATGATTTATGGAATGTTCAGTGCAGCAACTAAGAAGAAGCTGAGATCAACGGTGTAGACATTTGAGTACATTCAATGGGGCACATATCCGATTTTGGCAAGGCTTCAAGGTTTGCTATGAAGACAATATCTGCACTTCTTTTCCAGGCAGAAGCGAAGATCTTTGCTGGTATTCAGGCTTGCTGTCCCTGCATGTGCATTAACAATTCAACATGCTTCAAAGATTTAAATCATTTCCGGATTGAAGATTGAAGATTCTCAGGAATCTAGTATTCGCTGTTAAGCGCCTCTACGAGTTCTGGATTGAAGATTGAAGATTGATGATTCACAGGACTCAAGCTTTGCCACTGAAGGAAGTCAAAATGATCCTCAGGCCGAAAAGGACAAAGGATATGATATGGGAGATAATTGCTATTGCGCACCACAGACCTCTGTTCAGAACTGAAACAGAACAACAACGCAAAAACAAAAAAAACAGAGCGAAGACCGCCGAAAAGCAAAGAAAAGCTGGTTCTGGACAGACATCAAGCTGCCAGACCTTTCTCCTGGGAGATGTGTTTTCAGCTCTGGACAGGGGTTGGATTGCGGATACTTCTCCTAGGAGACAATTGCATCTCAGCTGCAGGGGGTGGGCAAGGGGGCTGAAGTATATACACCAAGGTTCCAATTGGTCATTCCATCCCATACATATGTACGTGTATACATGTATATGTCTGTTTGTTCAACTAGCTGTGTACAACCGAACAACAAGTAAGGTGTGCCCCAATACATCGATACAACAATCATACAACAAACATAAATGACTCAATAAATGAAGCACTAAATAGCACGACAAACAGCGAAATCGATCAATCAATCAATCAATCAATCAATCAATCAATCAATCAATCAATCAATCAATCAATCAATCAATCAACCAACCACCCACCCACCAACCAACCAACCAGTCAGTCAATTAGTCAGCCAGTCAGTGAGTCAGTGAATATCAGTGATTCAACCAAGAGATCAATCAAGGAAAATAAAATCAAATAAATCCATTAACCAATCAAACAAAACTAAACCAAATCAATCAATCACTCAGTCAGCCAAACAACCAACTCAATGACACTACATTGACAAACAACCAACACCATGCATGCATGAAAGAAGCGGTAGTTTCATTGATAATGGAAGGAAGGAAGGAAGGAAGGAAGGAAGGAAGGAAGGAAGGAAGGAAGGAAGGAAGGAAGGAAGGAAGGAGGGAGGGAAGGAAGGAAGGAACAAAGGAACAGAGGAACAAAGGAACAGAGGAACAGAGGAACAAAGGAACAAAAGGGAACAAAGGCACAAAAGGAACACAGGAAACAAGGAACAAGCTCACCATTCTGTGTATAAACAAAACCAAAACAAAAACACCTCTTGCATAACACAGCCCCCCCAAGAACCGCCTGAATTTGCCGCCCTCTTCGGCGTCTTCTTCCCAACCGGCACGCCTGGGACCTCGAAGTTCACGCCAGTGCCGCCCACCAGAACTCCACCAGGCAAGCGCCGCATCTGGGCCATCTCCGTGGGGTGGTAAGCCTCGCAGCGGAAGGAGGGGTGGAGGTGGGTGGGTGGAGGTTGCAGGGGGTTGAGAGTGGGAATTGGAAGTTTGGATTTTGATTTGGATGGTGGGGTTGGAGGTTGCTGGAGGGGGGTTGGAGGTTGGGTGGACTTGGATTTGGATGGTTGGGATGAAGGGGGTTGGGGGTGGGAGGGCAAAACGAACCTTCAGCCACAGGTGCGCTCATGTGAACCATTCACAACTCTGGTTCCATCTGTGAACTCACCTAGAAATCAGAAATCCCCAAATCCCAGTTGTGCCCCGAAAGGAAGAAGAGAACCATTTCTTCTGAGGCTGACGATTTTTGGTGGGGAAGCCACCAAACTACTCGCACGGCCTGGAAACCAAACATTTCATCCAACGGCCCAGTTGCCACCAGCGACCCGAAAGGTAGAGTAACGGGCAACTTTCTGGGGTGTCCATTTTGCTTGGGGAACCCACCAACGCAAATGTGTTTTTTTTGGTCGGGTGCCGCTGAACGGGTTCAGATCTTTGAGCCCACCCTCTCCGGCAGATTTACACGGAACGCCAAATACCATGATTTCGCGAGGAATCTCCTTTTGTTTAGAGACCGCCCTGTTTTGAGGGCTACCCTTCTTTGGGTCTTCTTGTTCAAAATGACGGGGGTCCCAAATTAATCCTAATTCGTAGCCCCTAGCGGAAGACCACTATGACAAGGGGAAAACTACCATCTGCCATAAGAATAAACGATTGATGTTGAACAGCCTAGCTCAGTACTGACCTCGGATTAAGCGTTGAGGGGTTGTTTCCTACCATTGTTTAATGGGACATCCCACCCGTGTTCATCGACCAAAGGCGTTTCTAACCCCTGGTTTTCCACCCAGTTGTCCAGTGACAATCAAAATCAACGGAAGCCGTTTGGCTGACCATCTCGAATAAGGGACCCAGCAGATGCAGACAACTTGGATCTAAGAGGTCCAAGACGTTGTCACTTGGCACATCCCAAAAGAAAGGAAGTAAGCTTTTTGTTACCACCAACATGGCCTTTCCGAAAAGTATGAAGTTCAGAAGCTTGGGAAGTGAACCGTTGAATATCAGTACGCCCCCCCCCCCCCGGCCCCGCCCCCCCCAACAAGAGAAAGCCGATTCAGGTGAGAAGCCCCGCTGCTCATCTCATAGAGATCTCTCTCCAACTGGGTCCACTGAACGGAATCCTGGCGAATGTGGTACCTCTTGCTGGGAGTCTTGGCTTTCTGTGGCGTTCCGGTGGAGTTGACCTTGGGCTTGTGGCTCAGAGGGCTGGAGGACACCTGCACCTGCTCCTTGGGTGAATCGCCCTTCTCCTTCTCCTCCAGGGAGCCCGTCACGCTGGCGATGGACAGGCCGTGCCCCATGCCCAGGCTGGGGGCGGTGGACTTGGGCACCGGGATGCTGGGCACTGAGGTGCCGGGCATGGTGAAGGCTGTGGGTGTGGTAATGCTGGTGGCACTGGGCATGGTGAAGGCTGTGGGTGTGGGAATGCTGGTGGGCGTGGGCAACACGGGGCTGGCGCTGGGGAGGGATGAGGTTGGCGAGCTTTGAGGCATCGCCGTGGGGGATGTCATGGCAGGTCTCACCTGAATCGGGCCATCGCGCTTTACGCAGGCTTGCGGCGGCAGCCACATAGACTTTGGCACAGGCGAGGGGCCAGTCACATGGCGTACTATGTAAGTACCGGGGCGGGGGGCTGCGCTGCTGGGTGCAGCAAAGGACGCACTGGGCGCAGCAACAGGGCCGGCGTGGGCGACAACTCGTCCCACAGGCGGGGGTTGCGACACCCGTGCTGTCCGTGCCGGTGCTATTTGAACTGAACCTGGCCCCGGCATGTTGTGGCTGTTCACGTACCCATTCACGCGCATGGGCATCTGGGGCATCTGGGGCATCTGCATGGAGCCACCCCTTGGTTGACAAGCCATAGCCTGATCCACTGCCGTCTGCGTGCACATGGTATGAAAAGTGCCACCTGCCGAGTTGCGCTGGCCAAACGCCCGAGTTGCAAGCTGCGGGCATTGCATTCGTAGCCGCCATTGGCGGCTCGAGCAAGGGAAAGCTCGACACAGGGAATGACACAGCCCAAGCCCAAGCACGTATGGATGCCCCGATGTACCACACACGACACCCAACTATATCATGAAAGGGTAAATGAATAGTATGAATGTGTATATATATATATATATAAATGTATGAAGGCCAAAGGTTGTGGGGTTCTGCCAATGAGAGGCTATCCACACAAGGCACCGCTCTTCCACATGACAAACCACTCAAATTCCCAATGAACATATTGGCGATCTCCACGTGCATGCCGGTGACCTGACACAATCTGGAAAAAGGCCCCCACGAATGTGTCCGCGTCTTAAATATGCGATTTGCCCATCGTTGGTTTCAACTGCAAGGCGGATAACCACTTGGCGTCGATTTTGAGGCGGCCAGCTCTCCCAATGCATGGATAGTCGCCTGTCAGTTGGCACTCTGGTCGGACCCCTGTACAAGTGGACCCCAATTAGCCCCATCTGCAGGGCCAACGCTCGGCCGAAGGGGGATCTTTGCCACCCTTCATTGCCCTGAGAGGACGGGCACCAGCACCACCAGAAGCGTCAACGCCAGAATGACAAGAATACCCAGTGGAAAGGGAGCTTTGTCCTGGGCCGGAAGCACCACATCGCGGACATTTCGGACACGTCTTGATGCGCATGGCAAGTCTGGAGTGGCAATCACCCCTGCACATAGGTTACCTTGGAATCAGGCTTGCGCAGTGCTGACGAGATTCTGGTTGGATTTCAAGCAGCCACTTCTCATCGTCATCGGCTGGCCTTGCCAAACTACTTTTTGAATCAAGGTGTTTACCTCTGCTTCAGCATGCTCAATGACTCCCTGTTTAGACAAATTCAGCCTGTATCCCAGGATTGCTCAAGCAAGTATTGTTTTGGTTCACATACACTCATGTTCATCAATAGGTGAAAGATGTTAAAGCATAATTATGTCTTGCCCCTTGTTTGAACCAAGTTAGTTTCCCTACGGCCCCGGGTGGCTTGCGATGCACCGCGGCACTCAGAACAAAGGACCTGTGGCCAAATCTGATGTCAAATGACAATTCCGGGTCAGATTGGTTTGGAGCTTAGGTATAGTGCCTTGCTTGGTTTCGAAAGGAACCAGGGTTCAATCCCGGAACCACCAGTCCAAACCATCGATGAAGTGGCAACTGGTATCATACCATAGCGCGATACTCCCTCGATGTCGCTCTTCGTACTATCCTAAGCCTGGTCATTCTAAGGAAACACGCGTTTGAGACAACAAGCAAAAAGGCAAGAAAGGTTCCACTTGACGCAACCGGCTCAACCGGCTGAGCCCCTCCAGTCCCCACTGGCAGGTGGCTGTGCAGCCAGAAGCCGGTGGTGATGATTCAGAAATCTCAGGCCGCTGCTCGGGCCTCGGCGTCCGAGAAAAGTTAGATTCGGAGTCCACGCACCATGCCATGCATGCCATGGCTGCCATGGGCGTATAATGTCTTGAGGGTACTTGTACCCTTGGTGCCCCAAGAAGCCAACAAGAAAGAGGACAGTGCTCAGTTTGAAGGTGTGCCAGTCCGTTCATTCTGGAGGGCGAGCGCAAAAACTATGAATTCCCGGAAAGTGTGGGACGCGGCCAACGCCGATGCCGTTTGCCCATGGGAGATATTTTGTGATTGGGTTCCCAAATGTTCCTGACTGAGAAGGTGCCGTCCATGCATTGTTATCCTGCTCCCACAGCAGACTTGTTAGAGCAAACGCATGCAGCCATCCAAAACAAGAGGAGGCAATTTCAGGGGTCCCATGGGTAACGAGCCACAAGGACAGCTTTGACAAGTTCAAACCTTCGACCCTGGAGGGATGGCCAAGAACAAATGTGACACGAATCTTCCGAGTTTGGCACGGTTTCTTGGGCTAGCGGCTTGCTGAAACTTCCCGAAAAGCCCAGACAGGCGGCTGTGCCGCACGATGGTGGCGCCCCAGTAGCCTCGGCGGGAAAAGAATGGGACACCGACCCCAAGGAACACACCGGCGCAAATTGGGTGACCCTAAATGGGTTCCAAATAATTTCAAGTGGGTTCTAGAATGCTAGGGCAAGCGATCAAAACCCGTTTGTGCGTGCCTGCTTGGGTGGTCTGGGAAGGAGGAAAAGGGACAAAGAAGTGGGAAACAAACGTGGCGGATGCCACACCCCAGCCCCAAAAAAAAACTCGTCAAATGAAATGGTGGCCCCCCTGCCCAAAAATTCGGAAAAAAGGCGGCGGACCACCAACGGCTGTAAAAGAAACAGCCCTAGGAAACCAAAAACAACAACACCTCCTGACCCCCAACCCAAATCGAAACACGTGGACCCTTCGACCTCATCCTAGAACCGAGTGTTGCTAAACTTTAAACAGGGGTCTGGAAATTAAGAAGTCCATCAGCCCTTGTTGCTTCCTTCGGGGCAGATGTTGTACTTGTTTTGCCCCACACTCATGGGCTGAGCGTTGGTCATATTTACTGAATAGGGCAGCTGTTGCAGCCTAACAGTGACTAACTGTGACATACAGCGACTAATGGTCATGTCTCCCGGGCCATCCATAACCCACTCAAATGCACTGAAACCGAAGGTTTACCCCGTTTCTACCAAAGCCATTCGGCTAAGTTGAATCATAACCAACCAAACCCTACTCAAACTGGTGGTTTGCCAGGCCACAGAAACCGACTGACAACGGAGTGTATTCGTAACCCACTAGAACCCGCTGACGCCGGAGCCTTACCCCGTTTTACATGGCTGTGGCTCAAAAAAAGACCTGTACCAAAATGGAACCGTCTGTCAGTGGAAACATGGACCCAAACACCTGCGGTTTGCCCCTCCGGTAAAAAAAATGAGCCACACCCTCCGCTTTCCGAGGGGCTGAAGGCGGAGTGGGAGCAGCGCAAGGAAGGACGCTGCTTCTTGGCCTCCCCAGTGCACCGCTGCAGGCAGGATTCCTCGAGCTCCTTGACCTCAGGTCTGCCCCGGGGCGGAGGGGCATTTCACCCAACCAAGAGGCGGAGTAGCACAGAAATCGGAAGATTGTACACAGGAAATGATTGGGCCAGGATGGGGGGTCCATCTGCGAACTGATTGTTGCTCATTATTACTCAAGGCCATTTCTGGGTAGGGTTGCTGAAAAAAGACCCTTAAAATCGCTGCCTCTCCCGAAAAGGAGGGGGCCCGTTTGAGAACCCCATGTATGGGAGGATGAATGCTGGCATAACCTCCGCACCTCTGGAAAAGTCCTTGAACTTGCTGGTTCCGCAATGACCCCAACCAAAACCGTCCCTTGATTTCCCTTCAGGAGATCCCCAGTAGAGGCGGGAAAAGTCCGAATGGGAGCGGGGATGACGCAACGTCCCCCCCCACGTATCCGATGCTTTAAGATGGCACAATCCCCGGCTGATGTAGAGTCAATCAGTATTTTGAAACATCTCTCCCCTGGGTGTACTTGCTTTGTTCTTCGGGTAGTTGGTCAGCTTCGTTTACAGGCAACTTTCAATCGCATGACGACGCGAGCACCACGAGGTACAAGCAGGAACCCTGTCATTGAACACGCCACCCCAAGAGGTCTTTGACCTGACTGTAGCTCGAATATAACCAGCGCTGGCTACATCCCATGGCCCACAACGCGTTCCGGGGTTCTGTGCCGCTGCTCACCTCCAATTGGGGGCTGTACGGTGGAAAGGCGCAGACCTGGGGCTCCAAGACATGAAGACAATCACAATTCTATCTGGTGGGTAAAAATGGGTACATAGGTACACACAATGGAACCTGGGTAACGAACACAAGGACCAAGACCTGCGGGTAATTTCGACCCAGACTCAACTCGCTGATTCCAAGCCAACCGGTGAAAAGACACATCCAGGTTCCAAAGCTTCCAAGTTGAGTGCCGAAGACAGGGATCCATCGTCCGCTGAAGCACTCCCCATCTCCAGGCCTCCCCTTCTCAGATCAAACATGGCTCAACCACCAATTGAAAAGACACATTCCATTTGAGGGGAGCTTCCCTTTGGCTTCGAGGTAAGACAAGAACATGTCCTTCGTCAGAGTTGCACCCCCAACCACTGCTTGTGGGACAGTACTTGGGGACTTTGGACATGGGGCAAGAACAGTTGTTGGGAGATGAAAGACGCCCCCCAACGTCGAAGAACGGCGAACCGGGCTTTCCACTCGAAAAAAAAGCGCCGAAACGGTTTCGGCCATGATGCGGAGACGGTGAGAGCCAGGTGGTGGTGATCTAAGGGCGTGCCGACCTCCATCAGCCACCGCCTGCGATTTGGGTCCTTTTTGTTTGCTGGATACCCTGTTTGGGTTGGTTGTAGAGGAAACCAAAAGGAATACCACTAATTTTGACACAACCCGATTTGTGTCTAGGGGACGTGCTCCGAAAACGGCAGGGCCCCGTGTATGGCCATTCCAGCAATCACAATCCTGCTGAGTTTCATAAAATTGGGTCTGTTCTTGTCTTTGGGACTGGGTCTGACGGCACTTATCAAAATCTCAACCGGCAGGCTGTAGCGATTCTTTTGCGTGCAATTCGGCAGAGGGACTTTCCCTTCAAAACTCCCAAAAAGAGGTCCCCCTAAGACACATGGTGAATCATGGTGAGCTTCCACGGTGATGTGTAAGGAACCCTCCAGTTCCTAGTCAACCAATGTGAGTTCTGTCTTTTGCCGAGAGGGGTCACCACAAGCGGGTCTTCAGGTCGGTGATGCGACCTGCAAGCATGCAATATGCTGCACGCAGCTCCCAATTCCCCAGCTTCCCCAACATCTTGCAAGCAGAAAAGGAACCACTGTCATTCATCATGGCCTGTGGGCCCCTTGCTTTATACAATCTAGGAATGGAAAGCCAAACGGGAACCTTGAACACTGCATCCTAGAATCATGGTGTTAAAATAACAGGACACCCTTTAAAGCAGCTTGTTAACTCGATGCTCAAAAATGAAGGGGTGGGCCGATCGTGGCCGAACGGCTCGGCTTCAAATAGGGTTCTAGCCCCAGCCAGCCAAACCCGTCGGCATCCCGCCTGATGCGCAGAAAGGCGAGGCCGGAGGCCAAATCTGAGCCCAGGCGGTGAACCTGCAAAGCGCCCTGGTGGCAGCCTAGAGTGACCTCAGCGCCGCCCGGATTCCGCCCGAAGCGCGTGCTGTCGGATTCAAACCGTGTGTGCCCTTTCAATCAGTTTCCTGGGAAGCGAAGCCCAACACAGCCAACTTGCGTTTAGAGTCTCAATAGACTTTCGAAACACTATTCAATTGTGAAATTGGTGAGGTGAAGGAGTTCTGAAAACGGTGCTCATGATGTGAAAGGATGGCAAAGAAGCCACAATTGCCAATAGGCTCTTCAGCTGATGTGACCTGTTGGCACAATGGCCTTCCGGCATTGGCTACAACAACAAGGCATTGAGACATCACTTGGCAGCAGTGACTGGCACGATTAAACAATTTGTCCAGCATAAGCAAGCAACTGCTGGCCGTAAACAAACGCCCATGCAAACAGGGCACGGCACTAGCTTCTGCAATGGTGGGTGTGCACGTGAGTATGTGTCAAAACAGGGGGGCCTATAAAATGCTTTGTTTCCTGCTAGCTTCCCCATCTAAACCAACCCCAAGAATGGCACACACAAGAAACACACCTCGTCATGCCTTTTGCCTTGGAATCCCAAACGGGAGGTTGCTGACACACCCAAACGAGGAATCCCACTGCACCACCCTCCTCCTGGTCCTTGAAATGGGCCCGGGTCTTGTTGCTTATTTGTAGGGCCTAGATAGTTAGAACAGGGTCGTGGGGTACTAGACTAGGCCAAACTACGCCACCCTAGAACAATCATGCGCTTGATGTTTCAGCCCCTTATGCTACCGGCCTTTGGGCATATCACATACAGCACGTATGAAAACAGAGTTCCTCCGCAAAACTGTGGGATAAAACTCACATGGCCATGGGTCAAAATCCAAAACGTACCCCCAGTGAACATCCCAATCCCCACAAAAATAGGTTCTAAAATGGGTGGTGAATTCACCTACCAACCAAAATGGGATCTGATTGGTTTTGACCCACAGCCAGACATGGCCATTTGGCCCAACTCTAAGAAACACCTTTGCTCGCCTGAAGTCCCCGCCTCCTCCTCCACCATGGTGTGGTCCGGGAAGCGGCACAGCACCGGCGCGTGGCACGCAATTGCCGGCAGAGGCTCGTAGGGATACAGAGCCAGCACCCGGCTCAAGCAAAGGCACCTGGCATTCCAATGAACATCAGTATTTCAGAACCCCACCACCCAAGGCTCTACGAGAAATTGGCCAAAACCCATGTCTTTTTGTGAGTGGGCCAAAAGATATACGCTTTGTAATTTCTGAAGCTTCGGGTGGATGAGTGTGATGCATCTAAGAAGCAAACGGAAGTTCAATGGACGAAAAGGCCAACCCCCCGCTTGGTCTTTGGTGACTGGTTCACGAACTGTCGGCTCTCACAAAGGCAACTGCTTGGCTCGGCTTGGCGCCGAGTCCAGGTGGCTCATGCAAAAGCAAACCGCTTTTCCATGCATTCTTTTGGGCATCCGCAATGGCTATTAACCAGTCGTCCCTTCAGGGTATGCGGCACTTACACTTGAGGCTTCGCACCACAAAGAACAGCAAAGCTTGACAACCGCCGAACCAGCGCTTTGCAGGCTTGAATTACCTGATGCTTGCGCATTGTTTTATCCTTGCGGTCATGCAACCCTTTTTGACTGTATCGTGCTTAGACGTTCAAAGGAAATTCAACGGGAAACCACCTGTTTCTGGGGGAGCTCCAGTAGCAAACCATGATGAGGCGATGAGCCGTTTGATCAGAGATCACCCAACTCAGACTCCCAAGGGCCACAAGTGGCATGGCTTGGTTTGAATGTCAAGCGGGTCGCTTCCAAACACACGCTGGCTATCAATCACAGCCTGCAGCCACTGCCAACTTGAAGGGGATCCAACTGCTCGCTCTCGCAACAAGCAACGCTCTTCTGCAAAGGGGCCTGAGCTGGCACATTCCTGTGACCACTCTAGATGGTTCTCGTCCTATCGAAGACTAGTCGGCACTGCCCAAACATGAACCTCATCATATCCGCCGACATTGCTCGGCGTGTCGGACACTTACTAGAGGATAGAGGATAACCCCCCCCCTCACCCCCCCCCCGCCCGACGTCTATTACGTAGGTTTTTGGGGGAGGGGGGGGGGGGGGTCCCCCAAGTACCGCGCGGCAATTTGATGACGTTCCACTAAACGTAGTCTTCGGGGAGCCGGTGTCGCAAAACAGGGGTCCCAGGCTCGATTCCCCCTGCCGGCTTTTTTGCTGGCTTGGGCTTCCTGCATCCTTTTGCCGAAAATCTGGAAAAACTCAATGTTTTTGGACGTCCTCTTTGCGAAAACGCTGGAAAAACCGTGTGTTTTTGCGGGAAATACATACATACATGCATGAATGCATGCATGCATACATACATTTCATACATACATTACACACAAACGTACATACATACATACATACATGCATGCATACATACATACATACATGCATACATGCATTACATACATACCTACCTACCTACCTACCATACATACATACATACATACATACATACATACATACATACATACATACATACATACATACATACATACATACATACATACATACATACATACATACATTACATACATTACATTACATACATTACATTACATACATACATACATACATTACATTACATACATTACATTACATTACATTACATTACATTACATTACATTACATTACATTACATTACATTACATTACATTACATTACATTACATTACATTACATTACATTACATTACATTACATTACATACATACATACATACATTACATACATACATACATACATACATACATACATACATACATACATACATACATTACATACATACATACATACATACATACATACATACATACATACATACATACATACATACATACATACATACATTACATACATACATACATACATACATACATACATACATACATACATACATACATACATACATACATACATACATACATACATACATACATACATACATACATACATTACATACATACATTACATTACATTACATTACATTACATTACATTACATTACATTACATTACATTACATACATACATACATACATTACATTACATACATTACATTACATACATTACATACATTACATTACATTACATTACATTACATTACATTACACATACATACATACATACATACATACATACATACATACATACATACATACATACATACATACATACATACATACATACATACATACATACATACATACATACATACATACATACATACATACATACATACATACATACATACATACATACATACATACATACATACATACATACATACATACATACATACATACATACATTACATACATACATACATTACATTACATTACATTACATTACATACATTACATACATACATACATACATACATACATACATACATACATACATACATACATACATACATACATACATACATACATACATTACATACATACATACATACATACATACATACATACATACATACATACATACATACATACATACATACATACATACATACATACATACATACATACATACATACATACATACATACATACATACATACATACATACATACATACATACATACATACATACATACATACATACATACATACATACATACATACATACATACATACATACATACATACATACATACATACATACATACATACATACATACATACATACATACATACATACACATACATACATACATACATACATACATACATACATACATACATACATACATACATACATACATACATACATACATACATACATACATACATACATACATACATACATTACACATTACACATTACATACATACATACATACATACATACATACATACATACATACATTACATACATACATACATACATACATACATTTACATTACATTACATTACATACATACATACATACATACATACATACATACATACATACATACATACATACATTACATACATACATACATTACATACATACATACATACATACATCATACACATACATACATACATACATACATACATACATACATACATACATACATACATACATACATACATACATACATACATACATACATTACATACATACATACATACATACATACATGCATACATACATACTTATGTACATGCATGCATACATACGAGAGAGGGAGATTGGGGAGAGAGAGGCTTGGGGGGATGGGGAGGATGGGAGCAGAGGGAGGGAGAGAGGACGACAGAACACACAAGGGAGACAAGGAAGAGAGGAAGAAGGAGAAAGGGAGAGGACAATGTCGGCGGACTGAGCCGGAGGCTCTAAAGTACTTTTCATTTGTTGTGTGTGTGTGTGTGCGGGCGGCTGGCGCTCGCCCTCTGGAAAATGCAATTTCAACTGCCTGCTCACCCCCCCCCCTCCCCCCAAAGAGGGTCTAAATAGCACCTGGGGGCACCTAATGCATTTCAGGGTAGGATGCTTGGAGTGTCAAAAGGAACCAAAACTACGAGTTTTTTTGTGGTTGCCCTACCCTTCAGCTCAAAAGCCAGGGGTTCAAACCCCCAAACCTCAAAACTACCAATTGGGGTCACCTGAGCCATAGCCCAAAAGGGGCTCGGGATAGCTTGCCGCGGACGTGTGCCAAATCCCTTGGCCCTAGGGTTCACTCGCAGCTTTCCTTGGTGCTAACGCCCTGCCCAGAAAGTATTTTACTCAAAGGTCAGTGGGGCAAACAACACTTCTTTCCCCGAAAAGTTGGAGGTTAGAGACCCAACCCAGGACCCAATGCATAGCATTCGACCTTCCAAGGATTTGTCAGGACACGAAGATACGTCGCAGCTGGCCCAGGTGTTGGTGAGCCCAAAGAGGTCCAGTTGCGCCTGAGGGTTCCAAAGACGTCCGGGCTTTGATGGAAATCCGGTGGAGTCAGGTTGCTAAACAAGTGCAGACAAAACCCGCGGGGGGACAAATATGTCGCTTGCCGACCTTCGACCAATTGGGACGTGACTGACCTCTCGAAAAGAGTCACGTTTAACGACCAAGCAAGCAGCAACTGAACAACCCATGCAAGTAGGAGCCGTCCCACACGCAAATAATGAGTTACCTGGCTAAGAATACCTTGCCCAGCCCTCAATCTGGCGAATGCCCAGTGCAAAAGGGTAAATCGCATCTGTCTCAGGTTGGAAGTTTTGATGACAGCAAGGGAGGGTCATTCAGAAATCTGGTTGCGCAGTAGGGCGTTTTGGAATCTTTGCTCGGAAGGTAGAAAGTTTCCCTGAACCCTGGCATTGTCGCTGACATGACGCTGGAAGACCTTTGCGTTTTCGGCACTTCGACCAACTCTCAGTTGAAGTTGAAACCTGTTCTACAAAGTCCAGCTAGCTTAGTTTGCCAATGCAGTAAATGTAAAGACAAGGCTTCAACACGAGCACTTCAGGACACATCGCAAACTGTGGGTGGATGCACTGTTTGCATGACTTTCAGCGTGCTAGGCCTTTCTTCTCATCACTGCCGCACTTGGCCGTCGAATACTCTGGTCGTAAAATAGGCTTCCAAACCTCCTAAATGGAGTTTACCCACTTTATAAGCTCATTTGTGACTAGAAAAAGGCGGCCACGTCCCACAAATGTTCCTGTGCCCTGTTAGGACCATCTCTGGCTCTGGCTCATTTGGATTAATCCAATCCCCTCTCGAACGAGGATTCAATAATTGAAGCTGTGACGAACATTTAGGACCTTTGGGAAGACTAGTTGTCTGGCATGTTTAAGAAATTTGAAAGCTAGGGGGGCCCACGCTCGTTTCTTTTGTGGGCTAAAACGGTGATGTTAACACGGGAAATCTGAGGAGGGGCGGTTCTCAAACTGGTGGACCCTTTCTGGCTGCTTGAAGGTAACTCAACAGGATGAAAAAGGTCACCGGCCATTTTGTGGGACCGACACAGCGTGATTTTGCTCCAAGATCCAGGGCACCACAGTCAGAAGATCCCCTGGCACCGGGTCGAAGAGCAGCAGGTTCAGCTCGCAGGCAGCCCCCGAAATGTCGGCCATGGCCTTCCTAAAGCCCGCGGATGGCCACGAGGAAAGTCGAATGGGTGTCCCCCAAAATCAGAGCACCCCCTGACTTGGCGTACATGGGATGGACTTGTCCCCAAAATGAAAGCAGCCTCGACTTGGATGTGCTTGGTTTTCTGTTGGATTCCCTTTTTGAAGCTAACCAAACAACGTGTCACTCAAAACACGAAGTTGGTTGGTTGCTAGTTGCTAGTGGCTCCTGCCACTTTGCCAATTCACCCTTTTCCGGGTGGCCTGAGACACAGAACAGCTCAGGGAGAACAAGCAGGTGCGATTAGAAGTGAAGCAACGGACTCCCAACAAGCAGCGAACCCTAAGGCTACACAAAATGGTCCTTTGCCCTAAAACAACCCAACGTCCCTCTGGGTCAAACAATGGTTGAGCCGGCATCATTGCAAGATTGGGTTTGACGCTTGCAGTCATCAACTGGGCATGTGCTTGCTGTTGAGGGTCTCCTTGAGCGGCTTGCCAAGGGAAACTAAACAATCTCCCATCTTCCAAACATCCTTTCTGCGATAATTACTCACATGGGACCATCTCCAAGACTATCTTATCCCTTGAAAGGGATTCCCTTAATTTCACGGAACGTGACCCTGAAGGCCCTACCTCATCTCCATGACACTAGGGTTGGCCCTAAAAACCCTACCTCCAGGACCCTGAGGGCCTTAGGGTCATGGAGACTCTAATGCTCGTAGCCCCTCCGACTCGACCCAAATGCCGCGGAAGCGTCGCCAGGTACGCGCAGGCGATGCCGCCCCGGGACAGGCCCACCGCGTTCACCCGCAGGCGCCGCGGACTGGCGGAGGCCTCCAACTCCGAGAGCAAGCTGTCCACCTGGCTGAACGGCTCCCCGTGTCAAAGCTCGGTGGCTTTCTGCTTCCCCGCTAAAAGTTTAACTTTTAGTGGTTTAATGGAAACCCCACTAGTTGGCAAAAAGTTAAAGTCCTAACATCCAAGCAAGATGCGCCAATAAAAAGGGCAGGGACCCGTCCACAAATTCGGTGTTGCTCTTTGGTGTCCCTAACCAACCCCTCTATTTGCCTTCAGCCCGGTAGTGAAAGATTCCCTTTCCAAGAGAGGAAAGACCCATGTTCTTAAGCAATGGAAGAACCTCGAAATGGTCCCCTCAAAAAGACACATTGCCCATTGGCTATGAATTCAAATGGAACTCCTCTGTTGGCGGATGTGGCTATGGGTTTTAATGGGGAACCAACTCACAAGTGGTTGGTGGACGCCCACCACAGGGGCCCTGTCCAATTGGTGTTTGGATCTGATGATTTGTGCTTTGAGTGGGGTCATAGAACATGTTTGCCAGTTGGTACCCTTAGATCGGTCTAAAGGGACAACATGGGACAACCCATCCATAGTATCTTGAGGAAACCCGATGAAGTAGGCCAACTCCTTGACGCCCGTGGTGTTTCTTCAGCCCTTCGGGCCAAGCGCTGGACGGTATCGGAACGGCCGTGAGCTACAGCAGCTAAGAAAGCAAAGCCGCCCCCATACCACACAATTCTTGTTTTGTGGGTTCCCCTTATTTTGAGACAAGCTCATACTGACACACACACACACATCTATGTATACACATGTTACATGTGCAAATTCCTACCTGCGTCAATTTGTTACGTGGTTTTGCATTGCAAGTTCTGGCCGTGAATGGTTCTGGGAGGCCAAAGAGGTGGATTGTTTCACGCTTTTCGACAGCCAAGGAAGAGTTTAACCCCCTGGCAAATCAACCACTGGCTTAAAGCTAGCATGGTAGCCAAACAACGAGCAAAAAAGGGAACCAGGGTGAAACAAACAAGGACAAAGGACCTTTGACAAAAAACACAAAACGGTCGGAAAAAAAAGGGAAAAAACAAACAAGAAACAAACACGCACCCGCACCCTTTTGATTTTTGTGAAATCATCCCCTAAATCCACATCCAAGGGGTCAACAAACCGATTCCCATGGGGTCAACTCCCACCTGGCGCCGCACTTGCGCGCACTGGCGCCGCAGGCCCTTGGCGCAGATGGTGCCGCAGAAGCCGTCGGTGACCCCGCAGCCGTCGAAGGCCATCTTCCTGGCGGAACCGGCAGAAGGTTTGGTCGGGAACTTAGGCCGACGACATGCGTTTGTAAGCCCAGCAAACGGACAACCCAGTTTACATGGAGGTTTACATTCCCATATTTATGACAGAGAATGAAAGTACAAGGCACTTTGGCCCCTTTTTGTGGGTAAAGCGGATGACGAGTGACCGAAATGAGGGAGGGAAATGTGCCATCTACCAACTCGCCCTGTAAACGAGGTGGGGGGGTTAGTCAAGGGAAACCACTGGGGACAGAGGTCGGTTGCTCTCAGGTTTATTGACCTAAAGACCCTTTTGCTTCCCCACAGTGACTCTTCAGGATCCTTTTGTTGCCGCCCGTGTTTGGCTATAACTTGGGGAGGCGTAAACCATGCGTAAACCTCCTAGATTCGGTTTACTGGGTCAAGGCGGCCAAGTTCCAAGCCGGCTGCATGATGCAAGTGATCAAGCAATCTCTCGACTGCGGGGCAAACAAACACCTCTTTCACCCTGTTCGGACCCCTGCATTTAAGTCACGTCGATCTTGATTGATGGTTTGGATTGGTCGAAGGAAGTTTAGAAGTCTAACTTCCGACAATATCGACAACTCAAGCAGAGCAGTGCAGAGCGAGAGATAGAGAGAGAGAGAGAGAAGAAGAGATGAAGAAGCGATGAAGAAAGATGAAGAAGCGATGAAGAAAGATGAAGCATGGTGTGCGAAATGTTAGAAAGGTCGCGAAATGCTGTATTTTTCAATGTTTTGAGCCTCCAGACGGCCCAGAAGTTACTTCGGTAAAGCGGCGGGTGCGGAGCCTTTGGTCGGAATTGCTGGCAAAAAATCGCACGCGGCCTGCGCGCGGTGCACATTTGGAAGTCAAAATCGTAAAAACACTACATGCTCGGGCTACTTTTGGAAGCTCCAACTTTCAAAAATCGCACGCGGCCTGCGCGCGGTGCACATTTGGAAGTCAAAATCGTAAAAACCTGAGAGGGTCGGGCTACTTTTGGAAGCTCCAACTTTCAAAAATCGCACGCGGCCTGCGCGCGGTGCGCGTTTTTAAGATGCAATGTAGCTTGACAGCGGTAAAACGCATTGGAATGGCAACGCGCAAGGCTTTTATCTAACTTGGAAAAATGCGTGGCGCCTGCGCGCGGTGCGCGTTTTTTAAGATGCAATGTAGCTTGACAGTGGTAAAACACATTGGAATGGCAACGCGCAAGGCTTTCATCCAATTTGGAAAAAATGCGTGGCGCTTGCGCGCGGTGCGCATTTCTAAGATGGAATGCAGCTTGGCAGTGGTAAAACGCATTGGAATGGCAACGCGCAAGGCATCCTACGCTGCCCTGTTGAGTTAGTCGCGCTCTAGATAGATAGACAGACAGACAGATAGATAGATAGATAGATAGATAGAAAGCTGGAAAGATAGAGAGACAAGTAGACAGATAGATAGAGAGGTAGACAGGCAGATAGATAGGTAGATAGACAGATAGATAGATAGATAGGGAGGTAATGTCGCTGTGACCGTGTGGCGTTTCGGCTCTGTCTTGTCAGTTGCTCCGCGTATGTCATGTTTGTTCAATGTCCCGGTTTTCGTCACCAGCATCACTAGCATCACCACCACCACTGTTCATGTTTGTTCATGTCCCGGCTTCAATCGCGGAGCGGCAACTCACATCACCACCACCACTACCACCACTACACTTTCACCAGCACTCCCACCAGCACCACACACAGGCCGAGAACATGTTAATGTTCTAGTTTGTTGTTTGTCACCAGCCGACCTACCAGCATCACGCTCAGGCGGACAACCTCTTGATGTTTTTTTTTTAGTTTGTGTTCCCACAGAACGCATATACTTCCACAGACACATGCCAGTGACATCGTTTCCTTGTGTATCCCGCACGGTGGAGCGCGTCTTTTCTGACCGCTCCGGACGCCATGGCAGACGCATTTGATAAGACGGTGGCGTTTTTGGCAGCCTACTCGCAGGAGCTTGTGCAAATGAAGAAGCCGACGCTTACAGCTTTGCTCAACAGCAAGCGGCGCAGTCAGGTACCAGAGTGGGAGCGAGCCAGAAATTTCTGCAGACGAAAACTTTCAAGCTTGGAGCCAGCTCAGCAGCAGATTTTGGAAGACTGGGAGTTTGTGCTTTGTGACAAGTCCACGTTGGAGGCTGCGCCTTTTCTGGCCGGCCTTCAACGCTGCTTTTGCCGCGTGGAGGCATTTTTGACAGAGACGGCAGAGGCGATAAGATACTCAAGCAAGCCAAGCTTGCTGGCAGCTTTGCAGAGTCGACACATGCAGGAATTTCAAATGTCGAGCTTTTGCCGTGTTTTCCTGCTGCGCTATAGCGACCGCTTGCTTGGCGTCTGCGGAAAAGGATTTTTTGCTTGCAAAGGAAGCTGAGTTGTGTCAAGTGAGTGCTGCGGCAAAAGAAGCTGCAGCATCGTGTCGTGCTCCTGCCTTTGTCGAAGTGCAAGCCTTCTTCGCTCAGAATGCTGTTGAAATTGCTCAGCTACAGAAGCAAAGCTTGTCAGCTGTTGTCAGCAGCAACCGCGCGAATTCCGACACACGTTGGAAGCAAGCTAAGAATTTCTTCGACAGGCACGTGGCATTGTTGAATGCCGACCAGAAAGAGCATTTAGAAGACTGGGAGTTTGTGCTTTGTGACAAGTCCAAGTTGGAGGCTGCGCCTTTTCTGGCCGGCCTTCAACGAAGCTTTGCAAGGCTGAGTGCTTTTGTCCAAGCTTACTCTGCCGTGCTGCGAGCTCAAGAAAAGAGCTCCCTGGTGAAGGCATTGCAAAGCCTTGACCAGGGAGCTGATGTAAGCTCTTCCTTTTGTGCTATGTTTCTCAAAAGATACAGACAGCATCTGTCGCCGGAGCAAGAAGCACTCGTGCAAGGCTGGGAGCGTGACTTGTGTGTCTCCGAAACCGCTCTGGTCGAAAAGTTTTTGACTATGCTTCAGCAAAGAAAGGCCGAGCTGCAGGCACTGCGAGCTACTTGTGCCGAGGAGCTGTTCAGCGGCCATGGCAAGAAAGCCGATGATGATTTTCGCTTCGGCTATGATTTCCTCCGGAGAACTTGGTGCCATCTGTCCCTGGTGGACCAAGAGCGTGTTCGCAGGGCGCTGCAGCCGCTTCTCATCGAAGTGGAACACATGCCATTAAAGGCATGGCATGAGCCAAAGCTGCACGCCAGTGAGACAGTTTTAGGGGACCACTTGCCGCGGCCTCGGCTGCCAAAGAGCTTACGGCAGTTGTACGGCAACAGCATGGACGCCGAAGCCCGCATAATGCCGTTTTTCCACCGTGTGCATGAGGTGGACTCCTACATGCTGAGCATGGAGTTTCAGGACTGCCATTACTGCAAGGAAGGCTGGTTCGGCATTGCCGCAGGCAAAGGCAAGAGTGGCCTGCCCGGAGGCTTCGAGACCCAAGCGTTTCAGAAGACCAACTTCTGTCGGGCACCTGAGGCCGATTGGCTGGAAGCCGGCAAGCCAATCTGTGAGAACTGCTTGCACGAAGCCAAGGAACGTGCCAAGGCGATGTTGCCCAAGGAGCCGTTCCGCTTGACGGCGGCCAACCACGCAGATCCGGGAGAGACTCTCCCGGAGATCGATGCCCTGACTTTCTTCGAGGAAGAGATCCTGTCCCCGATCCAGCACTTGGTGCGGATCTTTACGCTGTACGGCACGGGCCAGTGTGAGCTGCGAGGCCACGTGGGCAACCTTTTTCAAAACGGCCCGCAGTTCGTGCGAGACATTCCTGCTGCAGTTGGAGACATGAAAATGCTCCTGATACGCCGCTGCAGCAAGGATGTGCACAGGAAGCAGCGAGTACCTTTTCTGGTCTCGCGCCGGCGTCTCGAGCGTGCCCTGAACCGACTGTGCCGGCCAGTCGAAGATGGAGGCTCCGCGGCGTTGCGCCCGGGTGGCCTGACTCCCGAAGGATACTGCGGCTTCGTGAACCGTGCAAACTTGGAGCAGTACTCCAACACTGAAGAGGGAGCAGAGCCTGAGGGCTTGGAGGTGCAGGAAGTGCAGCAGCAGATCTGGCCCCAGATCGAAAAGAGGCTCTTTGCGATGTGGATTTCCAGCACTTTGTCTTTGCAGCTGGCCTCGCAAGTACGAGCTTTGCACGAGCCGCCAGAGAGCGTCAGTGATGCTGACCGCATGGAGAAAACTTGGTGTAGCTTGAGACAAAAGCTCGACGAGCTGGACTTTGCAGCTGTCGGTGGCCCAGATGAGTTGGTCACCTCGACTCTCGTGGGGTACTTAGTCTCGCAGCAGCGGTGCGTCTTTTCTGACCGCCCTTTGACAGACCAGCCAAGCATGGGACACGACCAAGTTGAGCAAATTTTGCACGATGAGTTGACAGCCGTGCAAGAGCTGTCGGCCTGGGAGGAGCAGCCGCTGACTCCCGAAGGCTTTTGGTCTCCCGAAGACTTGGCGGGGCAGCAAACGCAGCAAGAGATGCAAGAGGATCTTTGGAATGCCTTGGGCGATGCACATCGCTCAGATGTGCTGGCCTCAGCCAGTCTTCAGCGCCACGGCGCAGGTCGTGTGGCAGGCCTGCCCATTGTGGATCCCCCCACAGTGCTGTCTCGCAACGTGCTCATCCGTGAGGATCACCCGTACTACATCGCTGCAGGGTTCCTCAAACTCTTTCCGCTGGGACAGGGGGACTACTGGGCCCATGTTCAGGAGCGAGCGGAGAACCAGCAGCCGCTCTCTTTCTGGGAGTGGATCAAACACATGCTGCTGCGAGCCGACGGTCGCTTCCAAGCGCACCCGCGCTTTTACTTTTTTGCCTTGAACACGGCCCTGCGTAATAAGGCACTACGCTCAAGAACTTACTTTGTGAAGCGCCAAGTCGGCCTGAACACGAGTGCTTCGTACACCAACGAAGAGTTGATGAAGATGGGGAAAGCTCAGTTCACAAAGGTGATTGCTGCTTTCGAGCAAGCCATGATTGGCTCGGCGCAAGAGAAGCTGCAGCAGAGGAGCGATCTT